CACAGTACTTTTTAGCCGAGGCCATAACATGAGACCGAACCTCACCCTCGGTAAGCTTGCGAAAAGAACTAAAGGCCAAACCTTCGTCTGCCAGAAGTCGTTCATCGGCCGGAAGTCGTTGATCGGTCGGGAAAGATAAATACAGCAGAAGCAGAGTAGAAAAACAAAGCAAAGTAAGTGAACAAAATTACCCCTGTAACTCCGCTTCAACTTCTGCGGGCATAGCTTCTTCCCCCACTCTGTCACACGCGAAAGTCGTAATTGCTGCCTGAAGTCCAAGAGAAACGATTACCGCAACATGATAGACAAGACAATAGTTACCCGCTTGGAAATTATTTGGGAGACGGACTATGGTTGATTGGTCAATGTCAAGGGATATACATTTTATGTCACATGAACGATTTAGCTTGATACAAAAAAAGGTGAAATTACACCATTTTATATTAACAGGGAGAAAGAAATAACTACCAAATATGCCATTTTTGTTAATGACAACACATATTTGTCCGGGATTTGCTAAACTTTATGTTGCCTGTGTAAATAAGCGGAATCTTATACTAGCACCCAGTCTCTTAATGAAGTAAGGGTCGTATTTTATTTTTTTTTTGTGCAGGCCGTTGTTTCAAGCAAAAAAATAGTAAACCATTAAATGAAAATACTCTATTCTTGATAAAATGTATTTACTTTTTACCAATCACTTAACCATGTTAGAAGCTTTATTTTGTGAATCTAACTTCCTTTAAAGCAAAATATGGCTGAATATTCTACATAGTGGAGCTTTTTTTGCAGTGCTTAGCACAGAGAAGGGGACATCAAGCCCGTTCCATTTTGGTTTAGCTGTTGGATTATGTCTTGGTATCCTCTCACTGGTTGCTTGCGCGGTCATAGAAACGCTGTGGTATAAAAATTCAAGACGTTCTAAAAAGGTAAACGTTTCCGCCTTTCACACTTGCCTGTGTAACAAAAAAAACAGGGAGCGTGAAATACTACCATATTTTAAACTTATTTTTACGTGGATGACCAAGAATAGTACAATAGCAGAAAACCCAGTCGGAATAACTTAAAGAGACAAACAGGCTGTGTGGTTTCATTCATGGCGGCTGAAGAAAAAGAAGAAGACATTAATCAAAGCGTATATTAGCTAGGTACTGAACACGGAAATTAAAGTTGTTGATAACAGCGTGACAGTGTATACTGCTGGGAATAATTCATCGAGAAGCGAGCGGAAGTGAGGTTAATAAATCTGTCGGAGTTTGCTTCGCCCGTGGCTCTGACGAAATAGCCAAGCGAAGTGTCATCTTGCTTTGGTCATATTTCTTTCTATCGGTTTGGTATCCAGAGTTGTCTAGCAACGATGTCGCGACTAAGCTCCAATTAACGTCATTCAGTCTGACGTCTCGTCTCAGTAGGTGCATTTTTCGGTTTCCAGGCAACACTTCCATGGAGCCGGTTGACGTCAGGGAACATAGACCAATTCGGCTAACTCAATGTTGTACCCAATTCAACCCTTTATTTTTTTAAATTTGAATTCCACCAGAAACTCATAAGGGGTTGAAACGTGTAAATCGCGTTCAATGCTCGTGAATATTCGCTTTTACCATATTTGGAAACCTTAGTGTCAGATATCCATTTTCAACAAAATGGCTGCCGTGCGATCACCATGCAGATGTTTTAAGACAAGAGTTCAGCATTTCAAGGTTAAAAATACACCGTTAAAAGACAAAAAATGGAAATAAAAGAGAAAGTTCAAAAGAAGGCTCAGCTTCCTTTTTGTGGAGGAAGGGAAGCTTTTCATCAAGGAATCGTCCTTTGAGGAATTCAACCTTGTTTTCTTCACGACGGAGCTGAATTTTCAGGTACATTTTGCACTCTATGGCCAAGACAATTACTTTTTTGAAAAGGGAATTTATATGGCCAAGACAATTACTTTTTTGAAAAGGGAATTTATCTCTTTTTAAATGTTTCATAGACGTCTTATAAATTTCTTTTCGGCGATAAAGAAAAATAATATTACAAAATGTGCCCCGATTGGAGATGGATTTTGTGTTGAATTTTGCCATGTGCTCAGCCGATTTCACTTGCGTGAACGGATCCACGATCCAGATAGTGTTTTCCGAATTGCTTTAAAGGATTAATTTCTTGAATTCTGAATAAAAATTTTCAAGAAACGGCTTCTCTGTCTTTTTTTCTTATTTTGTAATTCATAAAATTAGCTCAAAACACGATCGTGACTACAACACCCAAGCTGAATTTAAGCTTAAATGCTTCTCACATTCATTACGCGCATCACTTTTTGCAAAGAAGTCAGGTTCAGTTTTTGGACACTTTTCGATACGCAGCTAATGAATTTTATTCGCAAATATTTTTTACTGTTTATTCTAGACTTTTAATATAAAAATCATAAAAGCCTATTTGCAGTACAGTTTACTGCGCAGAGGGTCAACGAGGCATCGTTTTTTGAAGTGACAAGTTCAAGAAGTTGTGAGGACGTCAATGGGTTTCATAATGTTATGTTTGGCCCGGGTGGTAAGCCAATAATATCCTGCTCAGTGTTTTGGTAAGATTCCTGGTTTGAACCTTTGAAATCTTTCTCGGCTTTCGGAAGTATTTTCCCCCGTTTGTTGGCCATTTTTTTAAGCGGGCGCGGGAACCTGAATTGAAATTACGTCACGTTGTTTAAGAAGTTTGATTGGTCAGTCATCTCTTCTTCTCGTTCCAAATATGGTACTTTTGAAAATGAATAATCACGAGCATCGGACAAAGCAAACATATGAGAGTTACTCGTTTCAACCCCTTATGAGTTTCTGATTCCACCTTATAATGCAAATACAGTGCACAAAGAATCTTAACCCCTGGAGATCTGAATTGGGTACAACATTGCGTTAGCCGAATTGGTCTATTGACAGGGGCACCCAACGACGGTTTCCTCCATGCATTGAAAATACTTTTTAGGCTACCCAGAGTACTTTTAGATCTCTAGAAATACATTCTAAGCGCCGCTATAAAATTTGTATCTGTTAGGTCGTCCTAGGGCAACTTGAGTCTTTTCCAAAATTACGAGGGCCTCCGTATTATTTTCCCGAAAATTTTAGATGCAATTTTAAGTTTTACGAAAGTGAGAATTTTTCTGATTCCTCCCTCCATCGCCTGTTTGAATCCGAAAATTTTAGGTTTTCTTTTTCTACGAAAAAAAGGCTAACTTGGGTACTGAAATGCGAAGAATTATAATTTAGAAAATCCTAGGGAATTTATTAGACATGTTACGAAAATTGTACATGAATGGAACTGTCATCTGGAACTTTTTAGCCTTCCCTAAGCTATAGTGAAAAAAAATCCCATCAGCGAAAATTTCACACAACTGATTTCAAACCCAACGACCCTTTTCTCAGGGTACAAGGTTGACCGGTTACGCGTACGCGAGCGCTATATCAAAGCGCGCATCGGACAATGATCACTATGCTGACTAAACAGGTGGTGACTCATGACTCTGAGGACTGACCGACTGTGTGAATAGCGCCTGTCAGTCCTGTGTATCGGTCGATGGACACTCAATAAGTGCCGTGCGAATTGAGATCGGCAGGGTACAAGACGTTTGAAACTGGCATTAAAATCACTTATGCCTTTTCTTCTGTTCTTATTTTTGTTCTTCTCATTTTTTTTATTATAATTATTCTTATTATTTCTATACATTCTACTTCGCTCTAGAAAATTCGAAGACATTCCCACAATAGATAAAGTTTTCGGAGAAAATTTGAAAGGACCGCTAGAAATTTCGGCTAGGGGAAAAGCTCGTCAGGTAATCTTACGTTTTCGGAAAGCTTTCACTGTAGGCTGTTATTTTCGGGAAAGGCGAAAAACAGCCCTAAAAAATTCGAGAGGTTCAAACCACTCCTAGGATGACCGAACGGATCAAATTTTTTTTTAGCGATACGAATTATTCATTTATATTGCTTTTAAAGCACTTCAGGATACATAACGAGGCATTTCAGATCATTTCCCAGAAAACGGTTGTTGGGTACCCCTGACCGCAAAAGCATTTTACGGATAACATTGGAGCAATTTGGACCATTACGGCTTGATAGGTCGCGGGATATGTTTGTTTTTCGGAAGTGTCGGTTTCAGTTCGGCTTTTTACCGTCAAAACCTTGCTATTCCCTGACATCATGATCTGTACCTTTGTAATTCATGTTACACCGAGGGAAACCCACAATGAATTGGTTCTTTCGCCGCCGATGGATGTGACCGATGGATCAAATCAACGACGTCATTTATTCAGTGCCAGCGTTGCCCAGTGGTCTGGGAGATGCACTCTCGCGCACGAGGCCGGTTATTGTGTAGCTTCAAATCTCCGCATGGATAGTTTCGTTTTCTTTTGTACATTTTTTTAACTCATATTTCTAACTGGGCGGCCTGTGGCGAGCCCAGTTTAAGAAATGGGTTTCATTTTTTTCTCGGGGGGGCGGGGGTAGGGGGGTATTTCCTGGGAAGTCGTAGTGGGGGTGCACCGTCCACCTCATCTAATCTTTACACTATTTCAGAGCAATATCTATAAGGTTAATGTAAGAGAGTTCCTCCCACGGGATAAAACGGACTGCCTGCTGAAGACGTCCTGTTCCCCTCAACTGACCTTTGGATCCCCAATTTAGAGCGGCACCACTCCATGCCATACCGATCCTAACCTTTATCTGAATAAATAATGAGGCATCAAGTTTACAAAAATATAGCTGATTTGTAAGTATACTACTTACTTTATTTTTCTAAGGTGTAAGGTAAATGGTCGAGAGAGGGTCTAATTTTGTTTAATTTTCGCCCTATGTTTATACTTCAAAATCAGATTTAATTGGTGACTTGGAAGACTGTGTGGTAATTGGTCATGCTGTTTGGGAGCAGAGATATTTGATGTCTGGGCCTTGCATGAATTTATATTTTGAAAGTTAATGATTAATTTCCGTTTGTTTGTTTGTTATTAATAGCAACACGCCATTGAAACTCCAGGTGGTATGACTGCAAGAAATTCTATGGGGGAAGAGATTGATGCTATGTTTACAACTGATCACAAAGACAACAGTAACGGTATTATAGATTCTGTTCAAGAGGAAGGAAGAGTACAGTTCCTTGGCGACACAACCAAAATATCCTCTCTATCAAGGCTGTCTGCCGGTACTTAAAGAACGTTTGATCCTTTGACAACAGCGTTTAACAACAAATGTGATTACTACTCATGGTGGCAGCAATGGGGAAATTTAAAAGAAACATTGTATTTTTAATTCATATATTGCATGGCTGAGGCTTGTTTGAATTTAAGTGGTATAATGCCCACAAATTGCTCTGCTTTAGAGTTCCCCTGCCGCCTGCAATTTTTTTTTTCAGAGCAAAATTATTCCGAAAAAAATTATGTTTTAAGGGAAAGTGCAAAATCTCCCTAATAGAGTGGCAATAGAATCGAAGTCAATGCCGTTAGTTTGGAAAGATATTTGATTTGAACAACGATCGTTGCTACAAGAGTAACAAGCAAATAAAATGGAAACGGACTTAAAAGTCGTTTCTTTTTGGTTGTCGATAACCAATTCCGTGCAGACTGGAAAATAGGAAACTATTTCCTCACCATTTACTAGCTTCTGTCAGCTTTTCGTGGTAAATATTTCAGATTTTTAAGCTTAAAACGCTCCAAAATACGACCGCACACCACATCAAACCACATGTTAGTCTCTGCCGTTGTGTAATCTGCTTCAGGAAAAATAATTTATGCTGCCTTCACGATTTCGGCAGGCAATGATCTGATTGGTGGAAGTCGATAACAACAAATCCACGCTTCCAGTCGTCTTTTCGGGAACGAGCGCGAGCTCATTTCCCAAAAAGGCCTAAAAATAGAGGCTATTTTAACAAGGGAGATTCCTGTAAAAACACCAACAACAATCGTCAATAATTTAACGTTTCTGTTTGTCTTGCTTGTTTATTCCTTTTTTGGACGACGTAGAAGACTCTCGAATTGTCCTGGCATTTTCCTCTCGGTTCTATTATTGGAAATACTTTGTTTAACCCGACTACGACAAAGAGGTAACTTAGTTTTATTTCGCCCAAAAAGCATAACAAAAACCCTTTGACATTTCTTTTTAAATTTTATAGTCAACAGACTTACTAACTTCATAACTCAAGGCCCTTTTTGTATAGCAAAACAGCGCAAACACCCAAAACAGGACGCTCCGAAACACAAAGGTATTGGCTCTAACAACTGAAGATGTGCGTCTCAAAATATAAAAAAATACCCTTGGTGCTATACGACAAAGAATACGATGCTGTGTTCATTCAAGAGCAAACTAAGGTCCCGGGTGTTCGAAATCTGTTTTCCTGTGTGAGACTTTACTAAACTATTACATTTTTGAGCAGCAAGTAAAAATCTCTATCCATGGTATTTTAGTCTGCGAAAATAGCCGTCTCTCCTCGCTACTCGCCGCTAGGGAGTCGTTTCGCCAGGAGGGAAGTCTGCAGGGACTGAAATTCCATACTGATGACGAAAAATCTGTCCGGAATCAGGTCAGGAGCTCTGATTGCCCGACGGAGTAATTATATTGTTTTAGCTATTGTTTACGAATGACCGACAAAGACAAAGGGCGTCGAAGGTCAAATGAAAACGCGATGAATCTACTACAAAACAGTTAATATTCGTGGAATATATTCTTCCTTCAGAAGAAGCATCTGAGTTTTCCTGGAGCTCGTTCGCAGAAGAACCCAAAACTTTACCATAATCGACCAGGAGAAGCATAAAATCGAACAACTATTCATTTGGAACCCCGTAACTACCAGTTTAATTATGTAAACATCGATTTCATCATCAGTGTGGAATTTCTGTTGTTGAGGGGAAGACGTCCCTCCTGGCGAAACTTCCCTAGGGGCGAGGAGCGAGGAGCGAGGAGAGACAGCTGTTTTCTAAGGCTAATGGTATTTATCCTCTCCGTGTGAAGAGTTAATTTAAGTTGTTTTCATGGTTAAAACACTGCAAGAGGCTACTGCTGGTAACTTGATAAACCATAAATCTGTCTCTTTCCAGGGCAAGTTTGTGTCGACAAGTCAAAACAGCGGTTTCACACAAGTGTGTTGCCCAGCCCAACACCCGTTGACATGCCTACCAAAAGAACAGTGGAGCCCAGCAAGCCGAAGGCTCGCAAGATACGCAGTTATAACATCGAGAGAAACAGCACTTGCATCGGACAAGAAAATGCTTCGCATGGAGAGAGGTACAATTAGTGTAATGCAATTCCATAGTGTAATCTTTGAATGTCCATTGAATAAGCGGATCAGTCTCATAATAAACTCTTTATAACCTCTGTCTCATTGATGTCATCCATGTAAAGATGCACTATAATAGTACATTAAAAAGTCTTGCCTTGTGACTGACCAAAATCGTTTATTTTTTTCAAAAAAGAAGAATGTCATAAAATAATAGTTTCTTGGTGTTTCGCACTTTGGCAATCAGTAGACCCACCCCACACAGACATAGCTTACCCATGCAGTGCTCGCTGGAGTAACAGTGGTTATAACTCTGACCAATTACCAGGGAGAGCTCTATCTCAAGCGTGCGTTTGGATTTTTCCCTAGGGAGTGGCTTTCTACGTGTAAATAAACACACTTGCAAACAGATTTGCCCAGTTTGGCTGTAAGGGCGGGAGGATTGGTTTTCATACTATTCCTTGATCTTTGCCGATAAACAACCTCTGCTAGTCGTTGTTTTGTCTGTTCACTTTCCCGAAACGCCACCTGCTGCTGCTCCTGCTGCACTTGCTGTTTCTGCTCCGTCTGCCGGGAATTCAGCGCCAGCTAATGCTGTTGTTGCTACCCCCACAAGAGTTAAATTCATTTCTTAGCTCTATATTTTGCTTTCACTAAGTTTACCGACTTGTCTCCTGATTGCCCTAGTCATTTTTCTTACGTCCGTACTTTTGTCGGTTGGGGCCGGCTTTGAAATATTGTCTTGACGTTTCCCTTGTACGGTTGGGGGCCGCTTTGATTTAGAGTTTTAGCCTCACGTTTGCGGCAAACGGCAAACGTCTGATTCAAGTTTAGAATTTCACGGTAGAAAACGAGTAGATAAAAACAGCTCAAAACAATTGTTACGGAGAAAAAATTAAATAAAACTACTAATTTGTGGAGAGAAATAATGACCACTAAGCGACAATTGAAGGGTAAACTTGGTCATGTGGTAAAAATGCGCGTTTGTCTTTTGACGAGGCTGCCTAGGCTAATCACGTTTCAATGGGAACGCACGCTGTATACTGAATTTCTCGCTTTATAATTTCATTCACACGACGGTGGCCGAGAATAATTATTTTACGTGCTGGTTTGGCTTTTGCTTGTCTCTGCGCAGGGACCGAGGAGACCATTTTAAAGTGGTAGGGCTAAAAAATCTGGCCAATATAAAAAAATATTAAGATCAGTGTTTCGCCATTTATCTTGCATTTGCGCGCCATTTTTCTTAGAGAGTGAATATACATAAACGTCCTCACTTTATCTTGTTATACTTTTGAAGCTGTTTGCAGTGCCGAAGTTTCTCTTGCGGTTCTCATTGCGGGAAACAAATTCCTGTGCGACTTCAGTTAAAGAGACACTGTCTGTTCTCCGCTTGTGGCCATTTAACATTGCTAGGTTGCTAAACCTTTCGTCACCCATCCTGGATCGAAGCCACGTCCTCAGACGCCGGGCAGATGAGAATGAACGCTCGCCAGCAGCGCTGGTAACAGGATTTACAGCAAGCAGCTTACAGACAGTTTGCACTTCCTGAATTAGCTTCTTTTCTGGTTCAGGAAACTTTGACACCGCCAACAGGATTTCGTCAAAACATGATATCTTCTCCTCCTTTAACATAACTTCCAACGTACTTAATTGCCCGGGTAGCACCCCAGTATCAACATCTTCGCTGTATGATGCTTCAAGAAACTTGAACTCTGCCTCATAGTCTTCACCATTAGCAGCTTTAACCAAGAGGGTCTCCATCTGGGCGTAGGAGCTGAAGCTTTCTTGATTAAAGCGCTGATCGATAGCACTGACGATAAGATCAATAGCCTCATAATAAATCCTTCTAAAGTAATCTTTGGCAGTTTTGGGATAGCTTGGTGCACCAGCACCAACCTCCAGTCTGGCTGGAGTTCGTCGCTTTCTCGGAAGCGTTGGTTCGCCAACTCCTTTGCTTTCACTCTTGCGGGCAACATTAGCATAGAAATAGTCGAAGCTCTGATCAGTGCGCATTTTTGTGAGCGCCTCCTTTGTTAGATTTGCTAAGCGTTGTCCACTGACAGCAGCCATCTTCGTACCCTAAAGAGTGTTAGATAGATTATCGGTGTGGGAATAATGCCGCTCTCCAAGATGCAAACCAAAGAAAAAGTCAAATCGTTCCATTTGCGCCTTACACCCTATTATCCTTGCACGTACATCGGGTTGCAATCGTTCGGACAAGCAAACATCCCACTCTTCCATAAGAACTGAATAGTTCTCAAGAATTCGTCGAAAACAACTGGCTCTAACCGTCCACCTTGTAGGGCAAAGTCCAATAATTCCACGGGAACTAGCATCCTCGTCTTCCGTTTCCAGATTTTCCTTAAGCTGTTGAAGTAAGGATTCCCGCTTTGGTGAAAATTTGATCAGGGTGACTATCTCCTTTGCAATATCCATAGTTTGTGACAACAGTTGACAGTTACAGGTCATATTCTTCACGCTTAAACTCGAAGAGTGAGCGTAGCAGTGGGTAGGATGGGCTTTAGGTGCAACCTCTTGAATTCGTCTAGCCACACCCGTTTTGGGCCCAAGCATCTTGCTTGCTCCGTCGTAACATTGACCGCTGCAGTTGGTTAGTGAAAGGCCTAGTTTAGCCAAAGTGTCCTTAATAGCTTTTACTATTGTCTCCGCACTAATATTTGGAATTTTGATGAACTCAATGAAGTCTTCATGTGCAACAAGGGAGTCATCCACCCATCGAATGCAAATGGTGAGTTGTTCTTTATTACTTATGTCGGTATACTCATCACAGATAATAGCGAAAAAGATAGCCTTTTGAATGTCAGATACTAAATCTTGGATGACCCTGCTGGCAATTATGGCTATTAACTCATTTTGGATTTCGTGAGAAGTATATTTGTCAGCGGTCCTATTGAGCCACACTAACAGCTCAGGGCGATCCTTAGCTCTAAGCTTTAGCAACTGCAAAAAGTTTGATTCTTCCTCGGTATTTCCTTGAAATGCAAGGCCTTGGCGAGCTAGAAACTGTAGACATTCAATAATTGCTATGAGACATTAACGATTTTCTTCCATCGTTGCTCTTGCTGTCTCGCTCATCATTTCGACAACATTACCACACGAGGGTATTGTTGTAGAGTATTCTACCTCCAATTTATGGCAGTTAGAGTTCTGGTGCTCTCTAAATTGAGCCAACGCATTTTTTCAGTTGGAGAATCCCGACTGTATGAATACGAGTTCTTTGTTCCTGGCACTATTCAACTTTGACTTCTGTTTTGCACACAAGAAGCAAAAAACTGCATCTTTTTGTACAACATAATGAAGCCAAGGATACTCCCTGAACCACTTTGCATTAAAAGAACGATTTTGTTTACCAACTTTTGTCTTAGGGAATTGGAAGTTCATCGGCTGAAATGGCTCAGATTGTGTGGGAGGCACTGACACTGATGTTTCACCAGGCAGGAGATCGCTGGTACATGGTTGTGGACCCGTTGGTGTAAAAAAATAGAAAAGATCTGCGGGTGAAAAAAAAAACAGTACCATATAACAAAAGCTGAAGCAAAAATAATATGACTGTCATGACGCCAGTTTTCACTTATCCAAAATAAACCTCAAATAAAGGTTCATAAATAAAAAGTAAATAATTTATTATAAATAGTAAATTATATCTTCGTACTTCTGTTTAAAGAAAAGCACTGTGTCTTTTTCTGGATGAAAACAACCTGCGTTACAGCGCTTCATACAACAACACCCACTCCATGTAAAGTTGGCATATAATAAAAAATATTAAATTGGTTGTCTTTACACTAGGCTGTTAAGTAAGGCTTAAGAGCCGCTAAGTTTTACATAACCAAAAATTCGAGAGTGAAGGCCTGAGTAAAATCTCAAGTAACTTTGTTTTGCATCTCATTAAAGTCGGAAAGTTGAAACGATTCTTATGACCGACTTAGCTGACTTGCGGTTTTGCGGTTTCTTGAGCTTTGAGAAAGGCGAGACATGTCAATCAATCTTAATTTTGTTGCGTGGGAAAATAACCTCAAGTAAAAAAGAGTCGGTTGTGTGTGAAGCTTTATTTTACTTAAAGTAACTAAAATGTACTTTTCTTGAAATATTTCTTAGCTTATTTCAGGCTCTAGTGTAAAGACTACCATTGTTTAGAATCTCACAGAGAAATCCGAGCAGAAAATATTCGTGTAACACAAACCTTCAATGCCTGTAGCATTTCCTCCAGCATTAGCGCTCGCTCCATCCTTGGTCTTTGCCGAGACACTTGAGTTATCTAGCAATATATATAGTAAAGGAAGTCCTTTAGTAATTTTTCTTTCCAATAATTCGTACCAGGATTTTCGATTGCAGTTATTGAAGATCAAAAATTTTTAATGAAACTATTTATTTTTTTCGCTTGTCGCATCAATAGACAAAAATACTTTACTTGGCACACTTTTGAAGAAGCTCGTGATCCTTCTTGACATTCCGAACGGAGAAACGAAGGAAAACAGAACAACGTCTGAGTTAGCACAGTCAACGAGCAAACCTCACAGAAATGTTTGCAAGTATGGAGGCATGTGGGCAAATCGCCCTAGTCCGGCTCATCCGTGTCCCTCATACGGTAGGAACGCCTGTGACACGGCCTTACTGAGGCTTTTATGTAACGCGAGTATGCAAGAGTACAGTAGACGCGTTTTATTACTTTCAAGTAGTGAAATCCATATTTTTCCATGTCAACTGGAGCCCTAGAAAATAAATCCCAGCAATAAAAGTGGTAGAGCTATAGCCCTACCAGCCCCTCCCCCTCCGCGGTCCCTGGTAATTCGCGGGTTATAATTCCGATATAGGTCTTGTTCAATATGGATTATTTTGTGCGCGGAGGACACAAAGAAGTCGAGTTTCTATCGATTAAGTTTGTATTTTATGACAATTTCATTGCACGGTTTGCTGGTGTCGCTCAACTTTAAGATATTAGATAAAGATAGATAATTTATTGAAACACGTCGCAGCTGTACATAGCTGAATTGCGTATTACATATAAAATTTAAAAGGTATTGAAATCTTTATCTCTCTCTTATACGAGTGTCAAACAAATAAAACTGCAACAGTCAAGTCTGGGGGTAAACAGGGAAGGGCTCCGAAGTGAACCCTTCCATTAAATAATATTTGCCCAAGGAAGGCACCGCCTAACCCTAGACGAAAAAGTCTCCAGGCGGGAAAGATGTAAACACACGAAGCTAGAAGCTGAACTGCATGCATTCTGTCTTTAACTGGGATGTGTATATAAGACCTATAAGCATCTGACTCCCAGTCTCCTGAACGCGTAATCAGCTCTGCAGGGATTTGAGCTTGAAAAGCCAGAGTGGCCCCGCCCGAACGAAAGCTATGTCCACTAACTTGAGACGGGTCATGTTCGTTTTGGCTGCCAACAACTTTAGCAGGGAGTCAAACTTTCCATAAGTCAGAGCAGTCAGGCCTCCCTCAGTTGATGCTGGAATGATAAAGGCTGGGCCCGATGAAGGTGCTGGTACCAAGCGAAAGGCATGTCTGAGAGCTGTATAAGGGCAGAGTGGATGCTGGGCAATGCGAGATAACGCAACAGTTAAAATGCGCTGACTAAATTGGATGGTCTTTGACCATCGATTGATGATGCTGGCCCAGTCAGTAAAGAAGAGTATGTCTCCCCGGCGTAGGTGTTTGGACGGGTCAAACTGTGTGAATCCTTTGCATTGCAAATTCGCCTTACGTAGGAGGCCAAAGAACGTTACTAGGCAAACTGCTCAGAAAGTTGCATGCAAAGGGTTCTCCAAATTTAAGTGACCCTTGAAGGCTAATAGGAAATGGGGTGTAATCAGTTTCTTTTGGGACACTGTTAAAGCTTTTACCTTTTACACGCTTGATTCCTCGAAGTGTAGTTGCCAACTGAGAATTGTTTTTGGTTGGGTCAGTCAGACCATGTTCAAGGTGTAGAATGCGAACCTCATTTGAATAAGTTGGGGTGGAGGTTGCTGAGAGTGACCTTGCCAGAAAAGCTGTATAGCGACTAAGGGTTAATGCTGCTGCTAGGAAAGGCTGATAACCGTAGTATACACAAAAGGATAGGTATGAACGCCTTTGACTCACCTAGGTGGACTTGGTAGTAGGTAGATATGCTTGGCGCCGGAAATTGGTGACTTCACGGTCAAGTTGCTGCTGATCCCTTGGATCTAAGGAGAGCAAGAGACAAGGGGGACATGTAAGATTCGAAGTCGTTTGATCCAGGTAGGGTGTTGGTTGTTCCTGGGATATGCTTGACGAAAAAAAAACTGAAGTTGCAATACTCCTTAAGCCAAAACAGAGAACGAATCCAGTCCATGATCACCGGACAACAGGTTGAGGCTTTGTTTAGAATGGCTGCGGCCACCTGACTGTCTGTCTTGATGATTACTCGATGACCGCTCCTTAGACTTATGATAAGTGGATTATTTATTTATTTTATATAAATGAAATAAGCGCAATTCTTCTGTTTTGTATGAGTTCACTGACAAATGACCAGGTTTGCTTTGAAAGCATTTAGCTTTGAAGCGTTGGAACGCAGATTTCTTGTCATGATTGCTATCATGACGCTGTGAGTAACGCCAGTCGAGGTTTTCAGACAATCTTGGACAAAATAAAATGGAACAGCAAACCCCCATCCCCCCCAAATCAAGGATGAAGGCGCGCGAAGGGCAAAAACGCGCCCATTTCCCATCCTTGATTTGGGGGGGAGGGGGGTCTTGGTTTTCCATTTATTTTGTCCAAGATTGTAGCTATTGTTCTTACAAAGCGGGAGATAATACGTGCGCGGGCGCATTAGTTTGAATTGTTTAGAAAATACTGGCCACAAAAGCTTTCTCTGTTTATGCTGGCCATCGCTATGCTTATGCTGGACAAATGTTGCAATGATGTTCTGCAATTGTCGGGAGGCCTTAGTAGCCTACTAAGTGCCTGACACTACATAATTTTTCCCATGACACTGAATTATCAGACTGATTGGATTATCTCCACCCTCTCCGCACCTTACAGTCATGCACCTGAACACACGAGCAACGACATCAACGTTTAAGGAGTTCTTACTGCATGACTATCAACAGTTATCCGCACCTAGACATTATTAGACATTATTTCCCTTTGCGAAACAGGACCTAGCTAAGGTACCAGCCCCAGATTACTTCATGGGAAATGCGCGCGTAAGATTTTTTTTTACGATTTGAGTAGTATCAGAAAAAGAACGAGTGAGCGCAGCGAACGAGTGAGTTTTCTGATACCTATTAACTGTGTCTATTTTATAGGTACTGAGATTTGTTCGTGTAATTTAGTAGATAAATTGCACAATTGTGGCGATCAAAAGTGTAACAAGTAGTCAATTTAAAATCGCTCAACAACAACTAAGTTAATGAAAGCTTATAAATTTTGAAGACTTACCGTGTTGTCCAGCCAGAGCGTGTTTTTAAAACAGTGCTTCCGGACTACACATACCGAGCAAACCCTTCTGGTACAGTATTTTTAACTCTTAAGCTACCTAAGCTACCGATGCTTTGGGTTTATTCCCTTTCTTCAGCTGTTTTTTCTTGGATTGAAGAACTTTTCTGGTCTTCTCAAAGACCAAGTTGTTGACTATGCTGGCAGAATAGCCCTTTTTCTTCAACTGTCGTTCGAAGCTGGCCATTAAACTTCGAAGTGAAGTCGGCTTGTACTCGTTGCCATCTTTAGTGCGGACAGAGATGATAAATTCGCTAATGTGTAGCCAATCAGGAGCACGAAAGACAAAATTTTACCGTAAAAAACTATCATTCGTCCAATCAGCAAAGCGAACGACGAAATTTCACTGATGATGAATGAGCGTACTGAAGAGACGTCACCCGTAAACCGTTGCACAAAAGGCTGCGCTCTTTGAAAAATGGCCTGGGGAAGGTTTACCTCTGTTTGCTCGTTACGGGCAGCCATCTTGGATGAGTGTCAAAACCACTTAGGGAGCGGGGGTCGGTTTGGGAGGAAGCGAGAAAAATAGAGGGACTGTCCTAACATCACTGCAGCTCGCGTTCAGGGAGTGTGTTGTACCAGCAAAGCAGGCGTTTAGTTAGTCGTTAGACAATAGATGTTACTTTGATCTGGTTTTACCACTGAGTTAAAGCATTTCGATGTGTGTATGTGAACCTGGTGTTATTCTGACAAATACCCGCCGAGAAGCAAGCTACCGAAATCGGGCAAATTTTGGCTTCGCGAAATACCTGTTGTGAGGTTTCCGGGTATCGGTGACATTTTGACTCAATATTTAAGGGATTATAAAGATTTAGAACCAAAGAAACTTGTTCTCGTTCATCTTATGTGAACCTTGTTTTATGGCCTTGACAAATTTTGAACGGAATCGAAATTTTGATCATGATCCAGTGGTCGATTCTTACTCGGACAGCCTATTAAAAGTTTCGGATTACATACTGGAATAAGTATGAGGTCAGATAGCGAGAGCATTTGTTTTATTATACCTATATTTTTATTATACCTTAGTAATTTTTCTGATTATCGAAAAATGTTTATAGTGTCTTATTAAAGGAGAAGGAAGAAAGCTGGGAGGTTGATTTGGATAGATTAATAGTGTCTGACGTAGTGCTTGGAGAGGGAGAGTTTGGAATTGTTAATAAAGGTAGCTACCGGGGACAAGATGGAAGGATCTATGATGTCGCAGTAAAGCAGTTGAAAGGTACTATTATAAATGAATGAAAGGCACCTAATTTGGTTGATATGGTTTTTTTCCTTCATTTATCAGCCTTACTTTTAAAGGAATGAGTAGACATGCTGCAGCGAAACCTGTGTTGCGGAAGAAATGTACACAATGTACATCAATATATTTTTCTTGCATTTACTTCTTTGTGTCACGCCTTCTTCTTCTTTTCAAATGTCCTCTCCCGCAGGGCCCCCAAGAACTCCCACGGAAGGCTTGATGCAGGTTATCTGATATAAGTAAATAAATAAATAAATAAATAAATAAATAATGATGATGATGATGAAGATGATGATGATGATGATGATGATGATGATGATGATGATGATAAAGTATATATCTTGCCGCGATTTAAAAACATCGAATACAGTGAAAGCTAATCAGTGTATAACATGTTAATGAATTTACTGTTATGTGGCTTTTCTATACAGATGGTACAAGCATGGCAGACAAAAACGATTTATTAGGTGAAATAAAGATGTTAAAACAAGCTGGACGGCATCCAAACATCGTCAGCTTAGTTGGCGTTTGTACTCGAGAGGGTATGTTTTATTCTAATCAGTATTTGCTGTAATGAATACTCTGCTCCTTTTTCTTTAATATGTTTCTTTTTTATTTTTTATTGTTATTTCAGAGAAGATTCTTGTTGTGACTGAACTGGTTCCGTATGGTAGTTTAAAGGACTTCCTAATATCAAAACGAATAGCATGCGTTTCTGGTGAAGCGAGTCGTTATGTAAATGTACGTTTTGGCTTAAACGAGCGGACGTTACTTAAAATCGCGTTTCAAATCGCTTTGGGGATGAAATTCTTAGAAAAGAAAAAGGTAAGGGAATATACGTGCAATACCTTTTTGCGTGCAAATATAATACCTTCTTTCCATTTTCAAAACGTGCTTACCTCTTTGTAATATATCTTTAAAACATTTTACTGTACCTTAGCACTTTCAGCATATGAAGGGATGGTTATTCTAGCAGATATTCTTCATGTAGTAGTTGTCATCCGTAGAGTGGTATTTCTCTATATTCTTCCTCTGCACTGGGGCCGTCTGTCTTTGCTTTGTATATATTATTACGAGCCACTTTCTGTAAATACCACGGATAGGTGAGCAAGAAGGAAAAATCGAAATCCCCCAAACTTGGTCACAACAAAGCCATTTGAAAACTATTTTAGAAAATACAAGACTCAGTTCGTTTGACTTTATATTTTCAAAAATAAACAATTTTTCAATGTTCACCTTCGAGAGGCCTTTAAACCACCGAAAAATGTGCTTGGTATCCTCGTCGCTTCGTGAATGGAAACGGAAACTAATACCGTGAGTTTGTTTTATATAAAACAACTTTATGATCCTTCTTTTGTATCTAAACGTTTTTACAATTTCAAAAGATTTCAATCTGATTTTTTATTTTTTTATTTTTTCAAAATTACCCTCTAAATCAATATTATCGCGACCATCAATTTTGGGGTGTCAGTAAAACGCGGGGTCGGTCCCGGGCCTGGGTCGGGGTCTATCTCTTTTTTTTAAAGAATGCTGTTTTAGAGTTAAGGTTAGGGTTAGACTTATCACTAACCGTAACCCTAACCCTAAAACAGCATTCTTTAGAAAAAAAATTGCACTGGCCCCGATCCCGACCCCGCGTTTTACTAACACCCATCTCAAAGAAAGAGCAATGCTTCCCCTATCAATCTGTGAAATAAAAAATTGGGGCAATTCAAACTGTGAGTCAGTGACAACTAAAAACATTTACGATCTACGACCTTTGAATTTGCAGTTGTATTGGTAAATACAAGCGAGAAATTAGACAGCATTTCAATTCTGGCCCATTCGCCCCTTTTTCGCCAGTTTAAACACGAAAAATCGTTCTAGACTTCACAGTAGCAATTTTTCAAAAGGACAAGTAATTTTAGTGTGCGAATGTGAGCTATGAACACTTCCCTTACGTGCGTATTTGTTTACTATTACGGTATTTGTAACAGTTATCATTTATTTACAAAACGACTTTAGTGTCGTTAACTATTCTTTAAAATGCTCTCATTTCTCGTGAGACAAATCGTTATAGCTATAAAAAAGGAAAAAACTTTGACCTACCTCACGTTTTTTGACAACAGACCCGAAGCATTTAGCGAAACAAGATTGAGTGACAAAGAAATTTGAGACCCAGGTTTTTCCTTGAAGACAGATACCATTCTGAAAAAGAAAGTCACGCGGCACCTTCCGTAACTATAAAAGCGAAACATGCAGATCTTCAAAAACCTTAGTTTCATTGAATTTTCTGTTAGAGCGATCCTGAAAACGAAACAAAATATTTTCAGCAAGAGACTATGAAGTGCAGGTAAGCCCTCACAGTCTCTTGTTTTTCATAAACACCTGCTTAGACTTTCAAGCTGTTAAAAAAGCCTATTGTACTACAGTTTCGTTTTGAAATACGATTATGAATTCCTTTCTTGTATTCTTAGAAAAATGACATTGAGGGGAGAAAACTGTGGTAGGTCGTAGTCTGAAGTGACAATCGTCTTTTCGCCCCATCCCCCGGTTCTGGCAAACTCGAGCAAGTTTTGCATTTCTGGGTAACGTTTGGGTGAAATGTAGGCTTATGGCACATGTCAAGCCAGAAAAAGTGAGCAATTTGGTAGGTATTAATGTCAAGTACGCCTGAACTGCGCCAGTATATTAAGCGCCTCTACTGACTCTGGCAGGGGACTGGGTGGGGAGGGGAAACTCTGGAATGGAGCGAAGGGGACTTAGCTCTAAGCATGCAGCCTGGGTTTTAGATGTGCGTTTTCCTTGGCGATAAATTTCGCCCATATTGTCAAGCAACTGTTGAAAGAAGATTGTTAGAGACTATGATAGAAATGGCAAGCCCTAATATTCTCTTGTTTTTCATGAACGCCTGCTGATTTACATTTCAGCTGGTGAAAAAGCCCATTAATTTTAAAACGTTCAGTTTCGTTTTGGGAATGAGATAATGAATGGCTTGTTACACAATATATTAGTTTAGCTTGCTCTACTCGATTATGTTAATTCAAGATTAAGATGGCTTACTACTGTTTTTGGATGAAAACTATATCGACTTTTTCAAACTGGAACATTTTTAGCAACTGAAGGTCTCTCCTGAATTGTTATTCATTGCAATTGATGTAAGTTATCACTCACATTTTATTACGTAGTTTAAGGCGAAATATAGTGACCGAGCACCCTAGAAGGGAACTAGGAACTAAACCTTTAAAGGCTTTATTCTTAAAGACTAGCCGTAGTCCTAAAAATTTGAGCCCAGGTCGTACGGCTAGGTTTTGAGAAATTTAGCGTGGAAATTGTCTTTTTACGACCTCCATGGAGAAAAGCATTGCGCATGCCTCACTGTTCGGGAAAAACCCTGCTGGCGAGATGGCGTGTGCACTCTGTTTTCCAACGTTGAGACTGCCTTTCATTCGTAGCGCTGGCCGCCATTTGTCAAGCTAAAAGTTAAATTTGTTTGGACTATCCGATCCTTGCATGGACGGGTACAGCGTGGTTACCACAACCGAACGTTGACCACAGAAAAGGAAATATGGTGACATTTAACAGGAATTTTTAAACCTCACTTCATTCTGGATTTGTGGACGATAGTAGTGCTTCACTTGTGAAACAGAACCGCATTTTGTCTTCTTTGCATGGTACGGATATTAGCTTCATGGGGACGAAGTGAATAAATGAAATCCAAAAGATAAATTTACAACTTGCAAAGCGATCATCCGGTCATCATAGGTCTTGACAACGGATTTGTGTACAGATCATGTGCATTACGTCAAAAACAAGGATCAACGGTATTGAGAAGGAACAAAACATGGCGGTCGAAGGCGGGACTGTTCTCACTATTTTATTTTGGTAATTCGCAAACTTATTGATTTTATGTCGCTTTTCAGACATGGTGCGTGGTTTTCTATTAGTTTATAACTGACGAGTTTTGTCCGCTGCGTTTGGAATATGCAACTTATAGCGTTCGCTGCGTATAGCTGATAAGAATTGGAACCGCCGAAGAGTTGAGCTATCGGTGTTTTGCTGTAAACCTAAAGAAAGTTAAGGTGGCTTCAAGGTACAGAGCTTTCAGAAATGGTCGTGATTTTTTTTTATTAGGATCGTTTTGAATTTTAACTTTGAATTCAAGGTCAGTTGTTGACTGATCATCATAAACGAAGTCAAATGTTATGATGTGTGAATCTGTTTAATCAGGTATGTAAGCTTATATTTATATAGCTCTCTTAAATAGATTTACTTCCCATGAATTTGACACTTTCTCCAGTGGTTTCTATCAGCATCATAACTTCTATAATCTTCTGATGTCCTCGCCGGGCGAAAACGATATACCCTACATAAAATCCATCGACAGGCCAGCGCGCTTTGTTGTCGGTTAAGAAATTACACGGTTGCAGTGACTGTCGTTTGCGTTTGGTTTCCCTCGCAATTTCAGTACCAAAGGACAAATAAGTTATACGAGAAAAACAAAGAGGCATGATGTATTTTTTTTTAATTATTGAATTATTTCCTCTTCCGGTTCGCCTCTCGCTTCTAAAATATTTGCTTTGGGAAAAATATTGCAATTATTGCTATTATCCGCTGACCACCGCGCAAGATGACCGCTTTGCAACTAGTTGTGAGAAGGTCATCACTCGTTAACATTCGTCGAAAGGTTCTCTTATCTTCGATCGGATTTCGGAAACGTATGACGTCACGCTCGCCTCGTGGTTCATATTTACCTGTAACTGATGTAAGCTTCGCTTCGATCGTCCACTCTGATTTGTCTGATGATCTGATGTTTGTTTCGAGGTCTTGTCTTGCTTTTTCGATTATCCCTCGATTGATTCAACCAAGAAGATACCACTGCATCTGTTTGGAAAGGATGCTTTAATGTTTGGCCTCGATCAAGCCTCTTCTCACATCAAGAAGGTCCTTTCAGCGGAAGTTACGGAGTAACATCCCTTGAATGGCCCGGGATCGAATGGCATTCATGAAGAATTACACGAGCAAGCAAATAAAACTCAAACGAACCGCTGCCTCTTTTAACAACTTTTTCAAATATTGGCGGGAATATAAAAAAATAGAGAATTATCCTTGTGTGTAATGTCTGTCTCTGTCGAATAATAATGAATGCTTGCAACAACAACCACAACAACTTTATTTGTACCCTACAATGATTTACATGATACAACAAGAATCGCCGAAAGGCGATTTTTAACTGGGCTGCAAAGGGGCTATTTGTTCTGAGGGGAGGGGGTGGCTATACACACTCAGGCTAACATAAAACCTTGTCGGCAACCATTGCATACAACAGAATCTCATGTGAGACTGAAACATAAACTCATTCAGAACATTGTACCCTTTTGAAAGACTTTCGTAACCATTATTTCCACGCACCCCTCCCCCAATCCCTCTGTGCCCCAAAATATAGCGTGACAGTATAACGTGACTAATTTGACGTAACCGGAAATTCCAAAAATTGTTGTCCTTCTACGAGCATAAAATGCGACAGACTGAGCTGATTTACACTGGACAGAAATATTGTATTGTATGAAAACCAGAAGTATACTAAAACAGACAGTTAACTGCCCATTGATCCCGCCTGGGGCCTCACTGACTGCACGGACACTTTACTGCGCTTTTCACAAACATGCGAACTCTAAAGTCCAAAAGCCACCTTCACAATTGTGTTTATCTCTGCTGTCAATCATAATTACTATCACAAGCAACTAACCTTGAAACAGAAACACACAAAACGGATCGAAATCCACAAATCACAAACCATTACCTTTTGAACCCGTGAAGTAAAGTTTTGTTTCCTAAGAGGTCCGTTAAGATGATTGACAGCAGCGAAAAACGCAATCGTCGGTTGGGTTCTGAACTTCAGAACTCGCATGTTCGTGAAAAGTGCGATCCTAATTTGCGGTCCACAGTCTACATGAAAACGCACTTTTGTTTCCACAGGATGAAAAATATTCAGTTTTAAGATTTTCCTCATGGTATTTTTCTCTAACTTAAAGGAATAAAATCCTTTGCATTTTGAGCCCTAAAAAAGTTTACAGAATTCTCGCTCGCATGTTGCGTTCACCAGCACGCACTTCAAACAATGTAAATAGATGAAACGATCGATAACATATTTTTGACCTCATACCGACGTGAGTTAAAAATTCGCTCCAGTTCTGTTTGTCTCACCCAAGACTAACTTTTCTTCATGGAAGAAAACTATGCCGCTTTATAACTCGTCCGAAGTTTTTGTGCCAGCTAAACAATATGCATGGAAACACTATTCACAGTGACTCCTTGGATATTAAAAAGACTGAACGTGACGCACTATTATGCCTTTGTTTACTTCTGATCACATCTTAAAGCGAAGTCTCTCTTTTCAAGCGATTCATCTCAATGCACAATAATTGACCCTTATATTAGTTAAAATCCTATGGTTCATTTATATTAATGCTGTTTTTGCCCCTCACATTGACTGTGTTCGTTCGTATTCAAAACACCTTTACGAAAATAAAGGCCGTATAAGTCATGTGTGTTATGTTTCGAGATAAATGGATTATACGCTTTTTTAAGTTTCCATTTTGCAGTGAGACTGCAGTGACTTCAGTTTACATCACCATAAAATGGTAAAAGAAATATCAAGAAACATCACGAGAGCTGAAAATTTTCAAAGGCATGTTTCTGAAACTCGCTAATGCTAACATCAATATAGCGTGCTTGCTGAATGGGCGAAAACACAGAATTGTGATCACAAGATCTTGTACAAATTTAATCATAAAAGCTTGGCAAGATACAGATACAAACAAAAGCAAACCCCCTGAAACCTCGACGTGGGCTACACTTGTATGCTCTATTCAGTCACCAAACCTTGTCAGTAATAGCTCCTATTTTCCTCAAGTCGCTCTCTGTGAAGCTCCCGGATGGGATGTTCCGGAGAAGCTTTAAACTTGTGTGCGAAATTCTCAGAGTTCCTATTTTTGTCCCTGGATTCTTTATCCTCAGTATCCGAAATTTAGAACTCCAAAGTGGCGTGTGTTGCATTAAATAGAAGGAAATATTTAAAGGAAAAGCCAGTCTTGTAACATGGCAAAGTTGTCACGTCCCTCGCTCATGGACGTGCGTCACATCAGGATTTCATCTGCCATTCATCGGCAACTGAGTTGTTCGCTTCACTGACTATGACGACTTACAATCAAGTCTTCAGCCATAGTGTCGTCAACTGGTGCAATACTTTGCTCATAAATTGTGCTTCTTAATTGCTCATGTACTACATCGATCGATAGTTCACGAAGCGGCCACGGCGTTCCAAACCTGACGCTCACAGTCATCTTTTAAGTCTTTTAGTGTGAACCTACCGTGAACGGCGTGTCGATTTGAATGCAACGTGAGCATTTCTCTGAGTTTCCCGGCGCCAACATCATCTAACTGACTTAAACTCGAACATTAATGAAAAAAAAAAGTGACTCCCATGGTCGAATCGCTTCGAACAACGCAAATAGCCTTCTTCAGGTTCGCAACGCCTTGTGGGTTTTTCAGGGGGAGCGCAGACAAGGTACAAAAAGTATCCGTGCTAGGCTCCGTGCAAGAGAAACTCATATGAAACCATTTGTGAGAACATCGTTTCTCGGTACCAGACCCTCGTGTCCTCCCTCCCCCGGGAGACCACTTTTTGACACCGACGACCGAAAGCCCATTTTATGACTGGGCCGTACAGGCAGCCCAGTAAAAAAATTCGAAAAAGATATAGAGAGAGTACAGGCTACCCAAAATAGCCATTGAGGGCTGAAAAGATAAGGCAGCCTTAATTTAGGTTATTAATAAATGATTATATTAATAAAGGGTCAGGTACCGCACACCACACACAGCTACACAAATCAACAAAACTCGGAAACCCAGGCATTGTTTGGGATACAAGATAGCCTTTATTAATTATAAGGAAATACAATACATGGTAAATAACTAAAAGGTAATATTTAGTACAAATAAAGTGCTCCAACAAATAAGAAAGACCAAACTAAAAAAAATAATTAAAACAACCTCAATCAAATAATAAAAGTGATCACGGGGGGGGGGGGCACTGCCATATATGGGCTATATAGGTAGGTGCCGCTGTCAAGGGTATGGTTTTCAAGCAGTTTACTCTAGGATAGGGTATATAAATCAGAGCGTTTGGGTCTAGAATAGGGTGTCATTTATCAGGAAACTGATCAGTTGGTTGAAGATGCTATCTAGACTAGGGAAACAGCTACTCTAGGATAGGGGGATTTGGGGAGCTTACTCTAGTATAGGGTAGCAAAATTTAGCTGAACTAGCTCTGGTATGGGTTAAGAGTTCCAAGGTCCCATCAGCACGTCCCCACCAAGAAATTCCTAAAGTACCCCCCGCCCCCCTCGGGGTGATCACACTGTCCATGAATAGAACAAAACAAACCCCTACAGGGAGGGAGAGAGGGAAATGATTGCTAGTCCAATAAAAGTGAATGTTGCTACTGCAAATGCCAATGTGAATAAACTAGAATTGTATCCGTCTTTACCGTAAAACTACTATATCCTAGGTACTAAACACGTGGTATATGAAATCCCTCGTGCCAAAAAACTACTGTGATGCTGTACTAGTCCTACATCCCAATGAGACGCCTTCCTTTGAGATTTAGGACTGCATCAGTCGTCTCTACTGATACCCCCCCCCCCCCCAAAAAAAAAAAAAAAAAAAAAAAAACAGAAGAAAAAGAAAGACAGCAAAAGAAAGCGAGGTATGCCAATATTAAACAACGACAACGGAAAGTCAAAGCTTGCACTAAGTTGTCTGATAATGTATATTCTGTTTCATCCGCTGAAGAAGCCCACAAGCTAATCGAAGATTTTAAGACTTGAAATACCATAAAATTTTCCTGCAACAAGGCAAGCAAAGGCTTTGGAGGCACAGGTGAGTAGTTAGCTATAGTATCATTTACAAAGTGGGCCGTTGACCATAGCCCTACTCCAATTATTTATTTCCCAAAATGTCATTTGCTTAGTTTGTTAGCACAAGCAAACCGCTTTGAGATCTTAACAGTGTCCATGGAATCTGCAATCGACAGTTGGGTAGCATAAGTAGTCAGTTGTTCAAACAAAGGCTAAAACGATCCTGCTTCATGGTTCTCGTTGAGTCGTTGGAGGGTAGAAAACGTACGCCCTGGATGCTACAACTGGTGTTTAATAAAACCTTAACAATTCCACTTGATCAATTTTGGGTTGAGAAACATGGCTGCAGTGGTGGTAGGGAAGGGGGTTGGAGGTGAGGATTGAGAGGGTACCAAAAATCAATCCGCCAGTCAAATCACACAGTCAGTAATGCATATAGAAAACTGAAGGGAAGTTTATTGATGATCAAACAAGTTGAATAATTACTTTTCCATGTTTGTTTTGCTTCATGAAATTAAATGGCATCTGCTCTACTTGATTGAATGACAGAGCATTTTCTTTCTTTCTAGAATGAATGACATGCCTTTACTGCGAAAGAAGTTGAAGGAACAATTACAGCAGAAGAGGCTTTAAATTGCACTTATAAACTAGCAAAAAGCAAAAGCTCCAAGAAATCAGAGAGTGGGGATTATTTACAGAGAGGGAAGGCAGGGCTGCCAACCCCCAACATTTACAAATATTGAGAGTTGATAGGGAAGGGATGATAGATGACGTCATTTGTGCAAAAAAGACTCTTTGAATCCGATCATCTCGAATATTTGCGGTGACGCAGAACGCTCGAAAAAGATGTTGTTGGCATTGTAACATTTGACCAATCACATTATTGTTTATATCAAAATTGCATACTGGAGTTTGTGAGGAAACGTTCAATCTTAACATCAAAATAATAATTATTCAAACAAAGCAAAAGATTTGAAATTTTATTGTCGGAAAGTCGAGTCTACAAGAAATGGCAAACTTTCGGCGAAAATCTGGGAGATTTCATACTCTAATCTGGAGACTGGGAGATACGGTCCAAAATCTGGAGTCTCCCGGTTGATAGCACTGAGAAGGGATAATGCAGATGGGAAGATACCATTTCCAAATTCTCTGGACCCTCGCCTTTCAGTTTTTACAGGACATTTTTGATGAAACAACAAAAAGCACAGTCAAAACTCTGAGGGGTACTTAAGTTGAATTAAAATGTATTGATTCCACCATTCATTCATTTTGATGTGCTGTTAAGAAAAAGTATTCAAAAAATCTTGAACAAATCCATTGACCCGATAGGCAACCATTCCCTAGAAATAACTTGTAGATATCTTGTAGGTGAAGACTTCATAGTATCAATGGCTTCAAACCAAAGTAAACAGTTTAAGCACATTTTCATTTGCAACCTTAATTACAAAGCATAAAATAAGTAAGCCTAAATAAATTAATAAATAAATCTGACTGAATTTATGTAAACATGGCTTCAATGAGTGTCTACAGGTGTTATGCTAAGTGTGTCCTTGGTACCAAGACTTTGATCCTATCCTCACCCAGGACAATGGGTGACTATCTGCACCTCCCACTGAGCTCTGCAATTATCAACAACAACAACAAAACTTATGAACCAAATAAAGTTACAGAAGTATTGCCTGCAGCTAACAAGGCTATTCCAGGCAGGACAATGTGTGCAAAATATAAAAATAAAAACTAAGGCTATTAACATTATCACTCTCAGCGGGAGCCTGATTCAGCTCAGTGGCTAGGGCAAATTAAGAACAAGGTACTTGCCAGTCAAAGCCTCTAGTGAACACTGCTGCTTACTGAAGGGGTTGTGTCAAAATAGCCCTCTCCCTTCGCCACTAGTTTTGTCCCCTAGGCCTGATCCATCCACCCACTGTCAGGGCTGGCCACGTTTTAACGAAATCAGACATTATTAATATTATTATATTATTCTCCTCAAGTGTGAAATATCAGTATGGCGATTTATGCACTGTACATGTATTCAATAAGGAAAGTGATAATGTATAATTGTCACCTAGATACATCATACATGCCTGGGGCGGAGTATAATAAGTTTGTAAGAACAGGCTTGAATTATCAAAACATCCTCTAAACGAAGGCAGTGGCATCTTCTTGTTCGAATTGATTGGAATCAATCGAAGAATGATCGAAAAAGTGGGACAAAACCCCTAACCAAAAATCGGTCGGATGTAGACGATCGAACATCGAAGTGCAGATGAATCACATATTTTAAACTTGGAGGCGAGCGTGACGTCATACGTTTACGAAATCCGTCCGAAGATAAGAGGGCCTTTCGACGGATGTTAACTAGTGCTGACCCTGTGAGAACATCGTTTTTTGGTCCCAGACCTCGTCTCCCCCACCCCCCCGTCCCGTCCCCCCTCATGAAGAAATTCCTTTGGAACATGAAAGAAAATTTTTATGTTAACAAAGTGGCTACATAGTTCATCTCCGCGTATAATAACGTGTGCAAACTGCATCGCGGCAAACCGCCTTCAGAGAAAGACTTCTCCACAATTTTTTGTCGACAAAGTCAATTTGCTCGTTCTCGCCGGTCAGAAGTCTCTCATGGGAGCTATAACGGTACTGTTGTAAGTCTGCTTTCCTGTCTGCTACTGCTGACAACATTAATCGTCTTGTTTATCACGTACTCTGTCAGTGGCAGTGTTGACCAAAATATGACTTAGCTTTATTCTTATTAGAACCACGGCATTACAGAAACCTTTATTTTCACAGTCATAGAATTTTTAAATTCACACATCATTTAGGATTTATTGATGATAACTTGCAAAACAGCTTGAAAAACCGAACCCTATCTAAAACGTGTGACATTACAACCTGGGTCAAGGACCTCATGAACGCCCATATCCTACTGTCAATGATCTTCTCTTCTTTTTCCTCAATGTTGGCTGCGAAAATGGGTCCAATCAGCTCAAAAAACTATTCCTTAACAACACTGGGAGAAAAGGAGAGAGGAATCAGAGGGAAGTGACCCTGGTTAAATGTCACCAATTGTAGTCTGGTTGTGTTCCTTTGTTTCTTCGGCTCGAGGCCGAATCATTTTATGTACATTTTTTTTCTCGTCTGTTGCAAAAGCGATTGTTGTATTTTACAAATCATAAATTAGAACAGATACCGCAGGTACAAAATCGATTATTATCCACTTGTTCATAATGTTTTTCAGTTGTCGAAAATAATATAGGTGACACGTCAGTGCGAAAGTTTAATATCTCTTTGTCATATTCTTGAGCCGAAAACCTGCGAAAACTCAGCAGTAATAATAAAAGAACGTTTTACTCACATATATCTAAAGCGTTTGCTACAGAATTACTTCTTGAGAAACCCCAGAACAAAACGGAATTTTTTGGGGGAAGTTTTTCATATTGAACTTTTGTCGATGATCCAAAGATCTTCGAACACCTTACGAATTACTTTTTCGACATTTGGGTGATTAAGATAAAAGAAAGTTTAATTCACATCACGACAACCAATATTTTGGTATTCCTGGAAGAACACCTTCATGAAAGAAATTGCACGAATTGTTTAATATTTACGAAACCGGAGTTCAGGATAAACGGAAATTCCAAAACAGGAGTCAAAATCAAGAAATTTTACAGCAAGTAATCGTTGAAAGATTTTTATTTACCCTCATTAGCGTAGACATAGAAATAAATTATTTTGCCGTAATTCCAGCTGAGTGAATGAAAAAATAGCATTACTAGGGAGAGTGCCATTTTTCTTTCTACTGATTGCCAAACGTGTGGCAAAGTTTGGCTTGAAAATATATAATACTTTGCTCGTCCTGTGTTTTAACAAGAACTCACGACTCGCGCATTTTTGAATGTATCTGTTTCAGTAAACGATTCCCAGCACTAACGCAGGCTACTAGCCCTGGACGCGAACGTTAAAGAAAAGCACGAGGATGGGCTTGGAAAGCAAGATTTCCCCGAGATTATTATTGTTATTATTACTTTTAATTTGTCATCCTTTATTTACTTACAAAGAAGGTTTGTGAACAGTCCACATGTAGTATTGCCTTGATTCAAGGTCACATAGTAGCGTCAGGCACTTCATGAAAAATGGTAGCATTGCTATCGAAAAAATCTCAAAAGGAACAGTTTTTTAACAGTTAGTCCCGTGGCCCGAAAGGGCTTCAGGTCAATAGCCCATACGGCTTCGCCCCATGGGCTATTGACCTGTGGCCCTTAAGGGCGAAGGGTCTAATTGTTTTAGTTTCACCCAACTAGTCGGACAAAAAGCAGGTAAGAAATACTTATTTTAAACAAATATTGGATGAGGTTTTTTAATACCCGGAATAATCAAGGTCGAGGTAAGTGTTATTCGATTCGTCGGGGTTATCTGCTTGATGATTTTTGGAAATAAAGGGGCTGCGAAACTCATAGTAACGTCGCCCTTGAGGTGTACTCCGAAGAACCAATATATCTGAGATGAGTTTTCTGTGATTTTCATTCCCTTTTACTGAAATAAAAGGTTATGTAAAACCATTCAGTACGGAGGATTTGAGACGGATCCAAGGTATCCCACTCGCCCAGTTGCCCTGTTCCGTAAAACTGTTGCAGTTGTTCGCTCGTAATAGGATTTTTATGAAGGGTCTGCCAACTTTCCCTTCCTGCATCATTTGTTTGTAAATAGCGTTGAGGGCTTTGTTAGATTTTTTGAAGGAATTTTGTCTGGCCTGCAAACCATTCCCTTTAAAAAAAATTTGACTACAATATACTGAAAACGCTTATCGAAAAAAGTTAATTTAATTTGTTTTGAATTTATGGTAACTTAAAACGAAACCGCGTTAAATGTTCGCAATTTCGTCTAGTAAAAACAAAGTTAACTTACCATTTAATATCTTCATTCTATACTTCGTTGCTTTTATTAGTATTTTATAGAATGGAAATGTCTCGCAAGTTATCTAGAAACGCATTTGAAACCTGGACAAAACGCGAAGCGGCCGCCATTGTTTTGGTCAGTTTTTAAAATCGGCAAATTTCGCTACTCAAGGTCTAATAGCCCCCTGGGTGTAGCCAATTAAAATACAGGATTTGCATTAGTCCACTCGTTAGGTGATAGTAAATACACATATCATAGCCCTCAACCATCGAAAGTCCTATCTGAAACTATCCAAAATAATCCTTAACTGGACAGTTTTTAAAAATTGAAGGATGATAGCTTTGCTATATCAGATTAACTACCAGCAATATAATTAAGTAAAAGATAGTTTGAAGACCGCACGCGATCCACGCGCTTAACACGTGACAAGGTTACTAGAAATACTTATCTCCCGTTAACCCTCGCGAGGCTCGGCTTTTGAGTAGCGCCACTCAAGTGCAGTGTCGGGCGGGGTTAGGAACTGGAGGCTGACCGCCTTGACTAGACCTGACCGCGAAGACTAGACTCTTTACTCCCATGCACTGATGCTATTTTATCAGTCGGATAATGATTTAGTTTGATATATTATTATATTGATATGATATGTTTCGTAAACTGCCTAAAATGAGTCTTTGTTTCAGTTTGATGTAATGTAAAGCAGTGCAGGTTGTTTGTTTGTTGTTGTTGTCGTTTTACAAAGCTTTTTAAGTTTTTAAGAATTTACTGAGAGGAAAGTGGATGTCAGATTCTTCTCATGCAAACCAACAAAAAACCGCTAAGGTTTAGCGCCGAATTTCCCATTTCTTTCCATTACCATTGGGCTTTTTTAATTATAGCCCTCGCTCCAATCACTTCTTTCACAGTTAGGTTTGATTAGTTCGAGGCTCTCCCCGCATCTCTGTACGTTTTGAGCTTTACCAGTATATAATTTTTTATCTTTGTATCTTTTTAGTGCGTTCATCGCGACCTTTCAGCTAGAAATGTCTTCATTGGAGAAAACCTCGTAGCCAAAGTTGGCGACTTTGGATTGGCACGTGATATCTCAGACTATGGTATTTACACCAAAAAATCCAGTGTAAGTTAAATACATGTAGGCTTGTGAACCGTTTTGAACAGCACAATTTTGGGACAGCCGACATTTTCAACTGTCATGATGATGATGATGATGATGATGATGATACCTTTATTAAAGTGTCAAAAATTGTAATAGCGGTGTATAACCACTAAGTGGGGACACTAAAACAAATTAAAAAAGAATAAATCAATTAATAAATTAATTAAAATTAAGAAAAACTATGTACAGTATAAGCAAGTGAGAAATTCGAGAGAACTATATACAATATGTACAAATGTGTCCATTATCTTATAAAAAATAAGAAATAAAAGATCCACTCTTCTGATGTTATATTTGAAGGAGGACAACGTGGAAGCTTTTTTCACGTTACTAGGAACAGAACTCCATACCTTTGGGCCCATATACCTGAGCGAGTAATTTCCAAAGGAGACTGTGTTGAATCTGGGTATAGTGAAGTCATGATTGCGCAGTTCATACTTAATTGCAGGCTTTTCAAAGAGAGTGCTAATGTATGTTGGGCACATGTTGTTTTTAACTTTATACATGAGAATAGCTATGTCCTGTAGTCGCCGGTTGTGTAGAGTAGATAGCCCAGCCATAGATAGTAATTGACCATAGGACGAATGTTTATCACAATATATAGCCCTAAGTGCTCTTTCCTGGATACGCTCTAGTCGTCTAGAATCACTAGCACGGCAAAAATGCCATATAAGGTGACAGTAGGTTAAATACGGGAGAACAGCTGCCTTATATAACTGTAACTTAGTTTGTGTGGGTATAAGGTTCCTGAGCCTCATGAGAACGCCTACCCGCTGGGCGCTCTTCTTAGAGATACTACTTATATGTTCATCAAAACGAAGATTGTTATCAATACAGACACCTAATAGCTTGAGACATTCAGTGGATCTGACTTCATGATTGTCAATCATAATACTGTCCATAGACTTCCTTCCGCAACCAAGTGCCATTGTCTGGTACTTGTCCAAATTTCCCTTTAGTAAATTAGCTCTGTACCATGAAGATGCTGACTCAGCGCAAACAGCAAGATCATCATGCACATCAGAGAGGGTGCTGCGAACGACATAAAACTGGTGGTCATCTGCATACATATTCATGTTCGCATCAACAGTATAAGTCAAATCGTTTTGGAAGATGTTCCAGATGAGAGGTCCAAATGCAGAACCCTGTGGGCATCCCCTGGTCACCCTCTGCCACTCGCTCACTACAGATCCTAGCTTGACCCTGTTATAACGGTCTGTGAAGTAGGAGCCCATCAATCGCAGACTTCTTTCCTCAACACCATAAGCTTTAAGTTTTGCAAGTGTAAGTGGATGGTAAAGTGAATCGAAGGCTTTGCTCATGTCCGTGGAGAGAACACCCACAACGTTATGCTCATCCAGAGCGAATTTCCAATTCTCAGTCAAAGATAAGAGAGCTGTCTCACAGCTATTGTTTTTCCTGTAAGCTGTTAGTTTGTCGCACAGTTTGTTATTAAAACCATAACTGAGTTGCTTGCTGAGTAATTGTTCAAAGAGTTTGTTTACAGTAACTTGTACAGTTATGGGTCTGTAGTTTCCCATTTTATGGGGATCTTCCTTCTTAAAAACGGGTGTCCATTCACCCCTTTTCCATCCCAAGGGCCACTCTCCGAGGGTTATGCATGAATTAAATAGTGACGTCAATGGATTTGTTAGCTCAGTAGCTCCAAGCTTGAGCGCCATGGGAGGGATGCCGTCCCAGCCTGTACTCTTCCTTACATTGACGTTTTGCAGCGCCTTTTCAACTTCAAAACTCTGAAGATTCTGAAACTGGAAGCCTTGATATCCTGTCATCTTCTGCGTAATATTCTGGACACTAGGGTGGGTGGCGAGAACTTTGTCATCAACCGCACTGGTGTCTCCAATCCCATCAGCCACAGTAGCAAAATATTCACACAAGTGATTAGAAACCGCACATTGGTCTCTACAGATGGTCCCATTGATACTTAGGCTGAGCTCATTTGTGTTGACCTTGTGCTTATCAGTCAGAAAGGGCATAAATGTCTTATAGAACTCACTCGGCTTGCACTTAAGCTTAGTGGCTTGCTCTTTCCAATATGTCCTTATTGCCTTTCTCCGGAGTCGGGTGGCCTCGTTTCTGGTTATCCGCCTAGCTTCCCAGTTCTCACTGGTTTGTTCCTTGAGATACTTTTTTGCTGCCCTCCTCTTAGCTCTTATGGCACCTTTCCATTCTTTAGTCATGTATGGAACATCCTGAGCCCTAACCCGCATCTTCTTCGTAGGCATATGTGTATTGACAATACTGGACAGAAGCATTTCCATAAAATTTGCCTTGTCGTCACATGAATTGAAAATTTCACTAACATGCCATGGAGCATACATTAGATCTTCTTTGTATTTCTCCACATCAAAATCCTTTAGAGATTTAAATGTTACAATCTTGCCTTTCTGGTGTTTTACCGTCTCATTCAGGAATCCATAAATAAGTCCGTGGTCACTGAGCGCAGGATCATGTACCCCACAATTCTCAAATAGTTCCGGGTGGTTAGTGAGAATAACATCGATCAAGCTCTTAGTGATAAGAGAGCCTCTCATTTGTATTCGAGTGGGTTCAGTTACCATACATTCGAGGCCCTGTTCCACCTCAAGATCAAGAAGAAGCTTTCCTTCAGGGCTGCTGGGTTCCATCCTGTTCAGGTTTAGGTCGCCTGTTATTATAACCGTCGGATATTGAAGGCTAGCCCAGTTGGCAATATGACTTAATTCCTCCTCAAGTAGAAGTCTGTATTTACCAGTAAGCTTCTTAGGCGGTCTGTAGATAACCAGTATAATGGCATTTCTCGATTTGAGGCCAATCTCCAAGGCCAAAGGCTCAATAGTTTTATAACACCTGTCAAAGGTGACTCTCTTGGAGAGTATCTTAGATGAGACAAACAAGAGAACACCACCTCCACCCTTTTTTCGGTCATTTCGGTGCAAGTAGTACCCTGGTATTAGGAACTGGGAGTCTGGGTATGAACGATCAATTTTAGTCTCACTGACAGCCATAATTTGCACCTTATTATTGATAATAATATCTTTCAGCTCATCAAATTTGTTCTGAATGCTGTTTATATTTAGGTGACATAATAACATGCCCTTGGCATTTTTCTGCCTTGCCGTATTTAGTAGGTCGGGACCAGTAAATGTGTTAGGTGTAGTTCCATTTTCTCCCTGATCAGTCAGTGTGATATCATTTGTGTCAAGATCAGTATCCGAAAAACAGGCCTCGTTGAGCATTTCAGCATCCGAACACTTGTAGAATGGCAGAGCCGCCCATGTGCATCTATTGCATAGCCAGCAGTTGTTCACCATTGATTTCAGGTACATACACCTTAAGTGAAAACATCCCATACAATTGGCACATGAAATGTTCTTTTGGTTCCACCTAATTGTTTTCTGACAGTGATCGCACTTTGCCGCGGTTGGTTTCGACCTGGATAATCTATTATTGGTGCTTGCCGCCTTTCCCTGGCTAGGCCCGGGATTTTTTTCCACATCACCGCTTAACAAGAGCGCTTGAGTAGCCATAGAATTAGTGTAATAGGCAATGCGTGCTTTGGAATATCGTAGCTTACGCCATTTTGTGAATACACCAGGATCTACTGTTCCATGCCAGGCGCGAAATAGAACAAAGGAGATGTTTTGATGGTTACGCTCCATCACCAAGAAATTCCATGCACTCTTGAATAAAGACCCATTGTCTGCAGGCCTTAATTCCAAGAGCTCTTCATTGCGGAGTACTCTTGGGACGACCTTCCACTCTCGTATGCAAATACGGAACTCCATTACGAAATCTTTCCAATCTTGGGCTTGAAACGTCCAAACGTCTCTTTTATAACCATTTAAATCAATTTTGGTGACTGCCAATTGAGAGATATTACCTTTAGTAAACTGCTCGTTGAGTTCGAACACATTAATGGAACACATTAATGGATACAGTTTTGTAAGAAGAGATCGTGATTCAGGTCCTGGAGGAGGTGTCTTAATATATTTCAAATCGAACCTTACTGCTTATTTGGTAACCCGTTGGAACTGCACCCATCTAGAAGCGACATGGCTGAATGTAACAATAAGATCACAATCTTTCCTGATAGGATGCATTTATAGACCACCTCAAGATTCCTTATTTTTCAATCATTTCAGGAACGTGCTAGAAAACATCTGGCTAAGAAGGAAAAATATTATTCTTTTGGGTGACTTCAATTCTGACATGTTAAAAGGATCAAGTAATACTGAATCTCAATATGGAAAAAGGCTGGAAAGGATAATCTCCTCCTTTGGCCTTAAAAACATTATGTCCTGCCCGTCAAGAATCACACTTACTTCAAAGTCTCTCATTGACCTCATCATCACCAGCCAACCAGCCAAAGTGAAAACCTCTGGTGCAATTGATCTTGGTATTTCTGATCATCACTTAGTATTTGCTGTCTTTATGACTACTAAAGCTAATCCTAAACCCAAGTATATAACAACCAAAGCTTACAAATCACTTGACATCAAACAATTTAGAAATGATATAGAACATGCGCCGTGGCAATTGGCTGGTATTTTTGACGACGTCGACGATAGCTTGTACCTGTGGGACTATTTATATAAGGATATAGTCAACCACCACCTCCCAACTAGGAATGTTAAAATAAGATCCAAATCTTTACCCTGGATTTCTACTTACATAAGGAAGCAAATAAATCTTCGCTATAAGTTACTTAAGGAAGCCAAGTCATCTCAAGATCAAGTCAAATGGGAATTATATAAATCCAAAAGAAATGAAGTAAAAAAGTTGTTAAAACAATCGGAAGCTGCTTATTGGAAACAGGAATTTATGAATTCTCAAGATCCTAAGCAATTTTGGAAACTAACCAACAAGGTTCTAAGGAAAAGTAAGGATAGTACTATTGGTCCCATAATAACTGACAGTAAAGATGTATTAACCAGTGATCTAGAAAAAGCTTCTTACTTTAATGAGTTCTTTGTTAATATCAGTGAAGAACTTACAAAGAATTTAGAACCTCTTGATCCAAACACCTTAACTTCTTATGTAACAAGAGTCACTCCTACAAGATGCGACATAGAGTTAAATTGGGAGCTAGTGAAGAAGAAAATTGAAAAATCATCAAACCCGAATAAAGCTACTGGACTGGACCTAGTCTCACCCAAGGACCTTAAACTCCTTGGGGAATCTTCTATCCATAGCCTGCTGCCAGTTTTCAAGAAAAGTATAGATGATGCAGTTTTTCCAACAAACTGGAAACTCTCACGTGTTAAGCCAGTATTTAAAAAGGGAGCACCCACTGATATGAGCAACTTCAGGCCCATATCTCTCTTAAGTATCCCAGGAAAGATTCTTGAAGATATTATAAGCAACAGCATAGACAATCACATTGAAGCTCAGAACCTGCTTAGTGACAATCAATGGGGCTTTCGCAAGAATCATTCTACAGAGGGTCTCCTTCTTCATCTTACTGACACTTGGAAGTGGGCCCTAGATAATAATCTTAAAGTTGGTGTTCTGTTTATTGACTTCAGGAAGGCCTTTGACTCGGTGAACCATACCATCCTATTACAAAAGTTGAAAGCTGTTGGTATATCAGGAAATTTACTATCTTGGATGGGAAGCTACCTGTTAAATCGTAACCAATTTGTTCAAGTTAATGAAGTGAAATCAGACACTAGCTCTATCAAGTTTGGAGTACCACAAGGGTCAATCTTAGGACCCAAACTGTTCTCCCTTTATGTCAATGACTTTCCTGAATCTGTAACCTCGGGAGAACTTTATATGTTTGCTGATGATACTACCATATTTACCATAAGTGATAATATTGATACTATAATTAAGGCCATGCAAGTTATACTAGATCAAGTTCTTAGTTGGTGTGGTGCTAACAGATTGATTGCTCATGAAACTAAGTCAGAAGCCTTATTATTATCTAAACAAAGATTCATTGGTCCATTGTTGCCTTTGAAGTATGGTGAAAAATTTATTGAATTAAAATCATCATGTAAATGTCTAGGAGTAACTATAGACAGTAATCTTTCTTGGCAAGAACACACTAAAAGTCTGTTAAAATCTTTTAATAAGAAAATAGCAGTCCTCAGAAGAATTAAATTCTTGCCATCATCCATTCTACAGACCATTTATTTTAGGACTGTACTTCCAAGTGTCTTATACGGAATACTAGTATGGGGTTCCTGCTCACCTGCACTAATGGATGATCTTGAGCGTGCTCATATACGAGCTTCTAAACTTATTTTTAAACTTTCAAGGAATTCGAATGCTGATCAATTAAATAAATTGAAAGGCTGGAACAATTTATCATTTTACTATACTAAGAGACTGTTAGTAGAAGCGTATAAATCCTACTATAGATGCAATACCAATGTTTTAAATGATCTAGTAATGTTAAAACAATCATCTCACTGCCTGAGGAAATCAATGAATATTGAATTTCCAAGTCCTAAATCAGAAATTGGCAGGCTGACTTTTAAGCATAGAGCTGCCATTGCTTGGAACTCACTTCCTGATTCGATCAAAAAGTCTTCTAGCTTAGAATGTTTTAAAAAAAGACTTAGATCTAGCAAGGACTTAATTAATTCTATAAGCTATAATAAGGAATCTTCCATGATAAGAAATAGGAATGAGGAATTTCTTTATTAATCTTATTTATATTTGTATTGTTATTATTATTTATTATTTAAATTCTGTTGATTTTCTATTTATTCACATGTATATACTTTAGTTTTTAACAAGTAGATGGGCAGGTCCACATCAGGACTTCAGTCTTGCGTATTCTATAACCTGCGTTACCAAATAAACTATGTATGTATGTATGTATGTATGTATTAGGACAGCAAGTTGCGGAGTATATAAGACAAATTACGGAGAGCAAAAATCCGTGTCTGACCGACATTGTTATGCATGATATACCGTGAACTGCCGCTTATAAGCCCTGGGCTTATGTATCTTCGTAAAGGGTTTTAGAAGGACTTATAAACTGAGGGGTTTATATCCAAGCAGGGCTTATAACCGAGGGGCGCTTATCACCGGACTAGAACAAGCTTTATAACATAGCTAGAATGTTCGCCTAATCAAATTTAATGGCTCGAGCGCGCTCCATGTTCCCATTGAGCACACTGATGACGTCAATAAACTATACCTCAAGTCTTTGTGACCATCCTCCCAAGACGTCTCCCAATGCAAGTGCATACGTGATGAAGCGCTTACCATGTATTTCAAAACGTAAATTTAAGAGAAAACTTTTGAATTTCTTAACCAATAGTAGGAAAATTGTGTTGTTGTTGTTGTCATCTGCGCGAGCTGTGCGGGCTATGGCGTGTGCAAATCATTCTTTGCAAAAATCTTTCTCTCTGTGAATTAATAGTTTTTCGGTACCCCAATATGGATTTTACAATCTTTTGTAATGTTATCTTAAGTGAGTTGAGTTAATCTCGCTCAGTTTCAAGACAAGCTTTAAAACATAACTGTCAGGTAAAAATATATATAGTCACGTAGACACTGACGCGCGCTACAATAATAAAATTTTAAGTGAACTGCTATATCGATCGCTTTGATAATGTTATAAAACAATTAGTTCATGCTTCAACTGTGCGTATATATGTCGAGATGTTGAGCACTTGGGAAGTTTGGAGAGCACTCGAGAGGTTAGAGCTGCTCTAAACGCTTACGCCTTTTTCGTGCTCTCCAGACTTCCCGCGTGCTCAATATCTCGATATACGCACGCGACGCATGAACTAATTGTTAAATAACAGTGCTAATCAAAATACGTTTATCATTTACTGGCTTTTTTAATTAAAGTGTTATAATAAATCGAATTCATTTCAATACATTTAAAACAGAAAACTCGAACAAAACTGGAACATAACAAACCTGAAGTTCAGACTCCATCATAAGAAGTGGCAAATACGTACTGTACACAAACAAAGCCTTTCGTTAAGCCTGTTAACTGTGTTTAGAACATAGCAAAAGTAAATCGCGCGCTCTGATTGATCAGTTAGCCACTACCATTTGCCCGTGGGTGCACGCCAAGAAACTGAGCTAGCGGGGTAAAATTTACGCAAATTCAACAAATCTCATCTCCTGACGGTAAAATACACCGATGAAATGCACAGATGAAAAGTGGAAGTTGAAGAAAATAGTAAGCTGTCGTTTTGAAGGAAAAAAGACAAAAGATCAAGCGAAAAATTTGCCCTGGATGAAATAATCACTGTTTTCCTCGCGGCTAGAATCGGCTGAAGGATAATCGAGCGAGTGAGGATTTAAGGTACATTTTGTGTGTTTTTTTAAAAAAAGAAAGTCTGTTTGAAATGTAAATTTATCAATTAGCATTGTGTTATTGACTTTTTGGTCAAGCTGATGCTAAATTGAAGCAAATATTTTAGGAAACACTCTCAAATTCGAGACAGCTTTGTTGTGAAGTTTTCATCGCATCGATTAAAAATTTTAGTTGAGTTTAAACGGGCACATTACACTGGAATAAGCGAGTTTCAGTTGAGTACAGAAACATTTGGGTTTTCAAATAAATTTTTCAAAAGATAACTTCTGTGTGTATTATTTTGTTCCTCAGTGTTCATACATAACAGTCGTTCAGAAAACGGTCAAAAAACAACAGCTTCATCGCCGGCTGTGTGTCGGCGAATTTCAGTTGGAACTTTGACTTTTATAGATTTATAGCTGGATTTCCCCAGACAGATTTCGATACAAAGCTAGTTAATTTCTTTTTAAAATTAGTGTTACCTGTTATTCTAAAGGAATTACGGTCAAATTTTCTCATTTCTACTTGACGTTTATTTAAAAAATTGTCATATAAATAAGATTGAAAATTATTTCATTTATTAAGTTTTAGCTTATTGTTTAGAGTCTTTTTAACTGGTGTTTATAGTTGCTAATATTAAGAGCAAGTAGACAGATGCCATTCAGAATAACGACAAAAAACGTTTTGCAATTTACCTGAAGACGGAGAACGGTTGATTCAGCGAAAGAAAAACTAAAAGGCAAGTTTTTGAAAAACATAGAAGATGATTTGTTTACGCGCGGGCAGATGGCAACATACATGAACTCGTACCGATGACTCAACCGAAGGCAAATGGAAAATAATGTTTTTCTCTTTTGATTATGTTATAAAAGAAATGGTAAACGTTGCAGCTGTGCAACCATATATGGAGTTATGGATGCACTTGGGAGGTTTGCTAAGCACTCAAGAAGCTAGAGTCGCACTCGGCTATCGCCTCGTGTGACCCTTACGCTTCTTTCGTGCTTAGCAACCTCCCGCATGCATCCATAACTCCATGGTTGCACGCTGCCCGTTTACCATTTCTTGAATTGTACGGCAACTGTAAAGCATTGTAAACTTTTAGAAGCTGATCCTAAAAAGTGCTTGCTAAAACAGGAAAAATTAGAGAGGGGTTTTGTATCCGGAGGGGATTAATATAGAGATTTAGCCAGGGCTAAAAGCGAAGCTCTCGTTAATATCTTTAGTTTACTCAAAATATAAAACCGTGTAATGCTTTTAAATAAGCGATGATGGGAGCGAAGACGGTAAAAAAATCAGTAGGTCTAATCAGCAAAAAACAACTTTGCACCTGCAGTACACTTTTTATATACATTTCTTTGCCATCGATCTGCACGACTATAACGTAAAACTTCCAGAAACTTCCAAGTGAGACGTTTTATGGAGGAAATGTTGTACGTGTTCCTGTTCACTATTTTTTTCACTGCTGCTCATTTTCACCTTGGTGGCCGCTAGCATTTTTTATTTTCTCACCACAGCTATAAAATGTTCATGTTTTTCTTCCAACGAAATTGGTCTTTCTTTGTTTTTTATCTCTCGCTCTAGCTCTTTCTCTGTTATCCACGTCATTGTAAAGATTAAAAATAAGTCGAAAGAAAGGATCGGCTTTGTTGTTGTTTTTTTTTTATCTCAAAAAGTCTGGGTGGTTATGCAATTTACGCTCGGGTACTTGAAATGAAAAATTTCACCCCGGCTTACATGAAGGGGTGGACTTGCGAACGGACGCGTACGGACGTTTTTCTCAAAACCAAGGTGTCTTGGATGCTTAGACAACCAGATTTCTTTACCCATGGTGCTCCGCTATAATGAGATTTATTTATTATTTTTTAGGGGTAGATGGGCCTATAACAAGGGGGGCATAGGTGGAGGGGAGGGGGGAGGGGGCTCTTAAGGTATTCCCTTCAACTTCGACTTTGCGATTTTTTTAGTATGTAATAGGGATGCCGAAAGGACATGATCGCGGGTTATTCAAATTCTAAAGCGAGAATCTTTCTCTCTTTTGTAGGGTAGAGTACCTTGGAGATGGTTATCCTTAGAATCGTTAAAGGTCCAAGTATATACTGCCAAAAGTGACGTGTAGGTGTCCAAACTGGTTTCATTAACGATCAGCTGCGATACTTGAAGCAATGATGTTTGACTTCATGTTTTTACATACCGTTTAGTCATGTTCGTGCATGTGAATGGATTTATTTGACTTGCATATCTTTCTGTTTCTTTCGTTTCCTTAAAGATGGTCCTATGGTATTGTCTTGTGGGAAATTGCCACTTACGGTGGGTATCAAATATTAGCAAATTTTTATCGTTTTCTCATAGCTGTTTCCTAAGCAAAATATGTTGTTATCTTGGTTGTTGTCTTCAGGTGAGGAGCCATACCCTAACATAGAAACGCCAGAGGATCTCATACTTTGGCTCTCCATGGGGAACCGGTTGTCTCGTCCCGAACATAGCTCAGAGAAACTGTAAGTTCGCAAAGTAACGTAACTAAGTAGCATAGCAAATAAGGTTTCTAGAAGGGCGGATCATGCGGATCCACACGGTAATTAACATATGGAAATTGTGACAGGTAAATAGTGACGTCAAAAGATAGATGCTGTGTTGAAATAACTCAAGTTTAAAGAGGATAAGTGATAATTACTTTAAGAGGGCGTTTTTTCTTTTAAGTTTCGTAGAAAGCGGAATGTCATAGAGAAGACCTTCAAACCTTGTTAATTAAGTTTATTTAATAGCCCTTTTGTTTCCTTAGAACAAGTTCGAGGAAAGGTCGAATATATTGAATACGATTCTCGGTTCCAAATTATCCGAATTTAAACGATAGTTGTTCTTTCTGTCACCCAGCATTATGCACTGTTGAGAAAAATAGTGTGGTATGTTTAAAAACGAACGAAATCGATACACTGAGGCTTTGTTTTGAACTTGAGACAAAATATTTGCCGCTGCAGTCTAGTTTTTTCGATTTCAACTTTCTCTGAACCAAACTTTTCTCCCATTCAGGATAGCGACCTCATTAGTAAAAACGTGTTCACACAAAAAGTTCAAGATGCGACCTCATTATCAAACCCCGCTTCCATACTTTTTCTCTCACTGAACCCGCCCCACATACATTCACTACAACGGATGCTCTTTGATTACTCAAAGTTGCTCTTATTAGCGCAAAGGTGCACGTGCTCACCCTTCACTCAGCGTTGCTCGGCGCTGCTCACTGATTATTCAGCGTTGCTTCGGGCTACTTTAGAGCTGCTCTCAGTAGCGCTAATGTGTATACTATTTACTCAGTGTTGCTCTGAGCTGCTCATCATGGTTATTTAACATTGCTTTGAACCACTTAGAGTTGCCCTGAGTAAAGCTCAAAAAGGGTTCACTGACCACACAGTGTGGCTCTGAGCTAGTGACGTTGATCACCCAGTGTTGCTTTGAGGTGCTCAATAATTTTTCACAGTAGCTCTGAGTTACTAAGAGTTGCCCAGAGTTAAGCTCAAAGGGGCTCACTGACCACTCACAGTGGCTCTAGCATTGCTTTCAAAGTAAAGTAGTCCTGTGTGACTTAACCCTAAATTAATTAAACGGGGGAGTTTTGCGTGTCCACTTTCCATATCAAACGTTCATCGAATTAATATGGCGAGAGAATGGTACATTGTAGCTATTCTGTCCGAGAGTATTTAGCCGTACGTTAACAGCAATCGACACGAAACAGTGGGTTGTCCGAAACAATATGATGGTGATAGAAGGAATAACCAACTTTTTGAATGAGGGAGAGGGTTTGCCGAGAATAAGAGCTGAAAATATTGTGAGAACGATGTAGAAGATGATGTTAATGAAGATGAAGACGAGGACAACAATGATGAGCAGGTTTCGTAATTGGCCGTTTCAGAACTGTTGTCGTAGTTTGCACTTCTCTTCCCTTTTGTCGTTTCGCGCACCTTGTGACAGTATACAGCACGTTTTAATAGGGCCTTTAGGATCTGGTGTACGGCCTTTGTCATCCTCTCCCAAGCTCCTCCCATATGGCATGTCCCAGGAGGGTTGGACATCCATTTAATCCTTCTGTATGTACAAAACTCATTGATTCTTTGCTGATACTCTTATCGACACAGGTCTAGCTCCAACTCCTCATCAGCTCTGGAAAAGTTCTTTCCACAGTCGTTTCGAATTTGCTTTGGGAGACCTTTGAGATTAATGAATCTTCTTAAGGCATTAAACATTGAGACTGTGTTCTAGCTGTGTGTAGCTTCGATGTGTATGGCTCGGAATGTTGATCAAGTGAATAAACAACTATACTGTTTCATTCTGCTTTCGGCCTTGTTTCTCTTATGGACCAAAAACGTTCACTCCAATATGCGTGAACAAAGGTTTGTGCGGAGTAACTCCCTATTGCGGCAAATTTGCGATCAATTGTGGTCCCAATTAAGCTTTTCTTTTCTAACAGTCTTCTCTACGGGGAATGCTGGGAACGGTCAAGGTGTAAGGACGTGTACTTCGGTGCTTCGCCTTTTGGCGTGTTATTCTTTGCAATTCCATGCCTCCAAAAAGGAAAGATCAACCCAAATCTTCTTCCTGGGACGCCTTTTCGCCCGAGGAAAAAAGAAGTAAAGAAGCCAATCGTTCTACGAGCACAAGCGAAGCAGAGGACGATGTACTAACAGCGCCGTCAATGGCTGACGATCTTGGGAAGAAAGTGGACATAATATTAAACAAATTGCAAAAGCTAGACAATATTGAAACGCGTCTGGATAATTTACACAAATCAATAGCATCTCTCGAAGAATCTTTTGCCTTTTTGGAGAAGGACGTACAGAACCTGAAAGACAAGACGGAAAAAACGAGGACGAAGGTAGACGATCTTGAAAAGAGTGTTGAGTTCCGTGAGGTGGACATAAGTGATATGCAAAAGGATCTTAAAAAAGTCCAGCATGAAGCCGATTAGAGCTTAAAATGCAACTCCTATATCAGGAACATTACAGTAGAAGGGAGAATCTTATGTTTCTTGGAATTCAGGAAAACGATGCGCCGATCGACGCCGAAAGTGAGACGGAGAATAATAACGTGGAGAATACAAAAGAGGTGATTTATAATTTTCTGTAGAAAGAGCTTAAATTGGAGAATGCCGTAAGTAGATTCGAATTTCAGCAGAGTCATCGAGTGGGGAAAAGATCAGGTAAGAAGCCCCGTCCTATTATTGCGAGNGAGAAGGACGTACAGAACCTGAAAGACAAGACGGAAAAAACGAGGACGAAGGTAGACGATCTTGAAAAGAGTGTTGAGTTCCGTGAGGTGGACATAAGTGATATGCAAAAGGATCTTAAAAAAGTCCAGCATGAAGCCGATTAGAGCTTAAAATGCAACTCCTATATCAGGAACATTACAGTAGAAGGGAGAATCTTATGTTTCTTGGAATTCAGGAAAACGATGCGCCGATCGACGCCGAAAGTGAGACGGAGAATAATAACGTGGAGAATACAAAAGAGGTGATTTATAATTTTCTGTAGAAAGAGCTTAAATTGGAGAATGCCGTAAGTAGATTCGAATTTCAGCAGAGTCATCGAGTGGGGAAAAGATCAGGTAAGAAGCCCCGTCCTATTATTGCGAGATTTCTCCGATATTCCGATCGGGAAGAAGTCCTACTGCAAAGACTTCACTCAAAGGGAAAGATTATGGTGTTTTTGAGGACATGACGAAGGAACTTTATCAGCCAAGAAGGGCCCAAATGAAGAAGCTTCAAAACGCAAAACATAATGGCAGCCAGCCTATTTCAGCAGAAAGTATACGGACAAATTATTCATTGACGGTAACCACGTTCCTCGAAATTAATTTATTACTGTTTTTCATTCTTTCTTCCAATATTCAGGTGGGCTAATATGGAAATTTTTGCTGTGGTAATTTTCATTGTATTTTGTAGCGTCTTGTATCACCTAGTGCACCCTTTTTACAATAGGTCTACGCCTTTTCTTTTGTCTTTGTTGGCTGCAATTTGTAAAATTAACTTGCTGAACTTTCATGATTTAAAGCTCAAGGGTAATGGTGGTTACTAAGGGAACTAGAAAGTAGGAATAATCGCTTTGCATCTTCAAAAATGTGTTTATGGCGGAGCTCCGACCAAATAGTCGTCCGGATCGTACAAACAATTAGGAGCACTACCTAAAGGTCTTAGTTCGCACCAGCTCATAGCTTTCCATTCCTAGTGAAAGAGCCCGAGTATGCTAGAAGTGTATTGTTTATGCTCTCTCTGTAGTAGTATAATGTCCGTTTGTAGAAGTCGCAGCAATAGGTTTTTTCTTTTTTTTTCTTTTATCGTGTGTGCCGTCTGTATAGTTTTCGTTAGTTACATCCTTGCTTGGCTTTATAGATATTTGTCACGGTGGATGGTTTTTCAATGCAGAATATTAATAATTGGTTTTCACCCTTATAATTCTTAAATATATGTTCATTGAATGTTAGAGGCTTATCAGGGCAAGCTAAACGAAGAGAAATGTTTAATTGGCTCAGTTGCTTGCACTTGTTACCCTCTAGCTAATCGCTTTGACTTATTCATGTGTCCTGTTCTGAGTTGAGCCATCCACCGTCCACCGTTCACCGTCCTTTCCTTTAAATGGAAGTAGCTAAGCGAATTCAAGCATAAATGTAACCTCAGCTATTTTTATGTTTGTTTCGTCAAGTTGTAATATGCACTAACGTTTTGTGTGATGTAAATTTAACATAAATAATAAATTAAATAATAATTAAAAAAACAGTCTTCACTACCGTTAACACTCGCGCACTACAGAACGTCCATTTACAAGTCCAGAACCTTCTCTGAGAGATAAAAACACAGACCCCTGTCCAAGGTGACCTACGTTCTCATGGTGATAGGAAAAGCAATTATTAGTTCTGTGACATAGTCATACTTTGGACGAATGAAAGGATAATAATACACCTGTCAACTTTTGGCCTAACTTAAAATTTGATGAGCCTTTACTCATATAATCCTTTTGACTTGTCTTTCGTCCGACAAGATAGAAGGTGCCTTAAATACCTCCGGGAACGCAGTTACTGTAAAATTCCGAAGATAAGCCCCAGGGCTTATTTTTTTCAAAGGCCCTTTTTGAGGGGCGTATTTTTGGAGTGGCATATCTACGGAAGGAAATTTGCGTCTCAAAATCGATTGGGCTACCCTTATAGTTGGAAGGAAATTTACCGTTTTTTGCTTTGTTTTACTTTGTATTTGAAGGCAATTTCCAAGTACCTGCCCCCGGGAGGGCTTATATTTGGAGGGGCGATTTAACGGAGGGTTTTTTGCGTTACGAGTTTGGAGGGCTTATATTTGGAGGGGCTTATTTTCAGAATTTTACGGTACTTCAGCCTTATGACGTTCTTCCACTGTAAGACTCCCGTTTAAAAACCCTCTGTTACTAAGGATGGCGTACTGGTTTTGACACTTCCCTGTTTCTGCTCGTAAACTTTACTACATCAGCCAAGTAAATGACGTTTTT